CGTCACACCACCTACTTTCGGTTTGGTTCGTCTAGTTAGTAGTAAGTAGTAGTACGTCCCTCCCTCCCCACCCCCTACCCCTCCCTCCTCTCTCTCTCTCTCTCTCTCTCTCTCTCTCACACACACACACACACACACACACCACATGCACACACACGAGTCGACTGAAGGTTGGGAGTCTCATGAGCAGGTAACAAGGACCAAAAGCAGATGGAAGTGCACTCTCAAGGATGGCATAATGCATCTGAACAGTAAGGACATACTCTTCACGAAGGTGAGTTTTAGACCAATCAGCTGTTTCTATTCACTAGCTAATGGCATGCATTGTGGGGAAAACACATGGTTTTATAACTCATTGGCACAAACTTCTAAATTGAGTTGAATGATCATACTTAATATTTAAAAACTAATGTTAATTTGCAGAATTTTCATCAATACTTCAAGGACCTGTGCTGAACTTGTTCAGAACAGCGCCACCCATTATTTCAAGCCTCCTTATTCTGAGTGGGTTTTCCTTTTGAATTTCTCTGATTGATAACTGTGCAGGCAAATGGTGAGTTTGATTTCTGAGTTTTTAGAGCTTGGCTGATTGCTCCATTACATTGAATCTTCCAATTCGGACACTTTCTCAACATTGAACTCCTGGAAGATTTCCAAAATCTGGGTCTTATTCTTTTTAAGCAGCTGTTGTGCACTGTGTTGATGAGATGGAAGTTGGAGGTTAGATTTTATTAAAGATCTTAGCCAAGACGGGGTTTTCTTTGTTTCTAGGGAGACCTATATATAAAAGACAAAGGTTTAGACGAAGAAAGGTTAAGAGGAACATTTGATGTATTGGAATAGTGTGGAATGTTTTTTCTTGGGACCCTTCTGTCCAACATCTCCTCTGTACACAGTTCCTGGGTTCCAAAGCCCTTCCTTTTTTTGGTGTGCAGAACTGTCAGTAGTGAGTTACTGTGAGAGAGAGAGATAAGACAGGTAGTATTTTGTTCCATTTCCCTTTTACTTTTTCATGTATCTGTAATCCCGCTGCACCCTATTTACTTGTGTAAAGCTGATAATGTTAGAAATAAGCTTCTCTCTCTCTTTCTCTCTCTCTTCGGTGGTTTTTCATGTGACCTATTTTGCTTCACAAACTCTAGCTGCTTGTTCCTCATGCATTTTTGCGACTTTCATTCTTCTTATCTTATTTAGATTTAGATTACTCCGTATCTGTCTTTTTGACTTTTTGCTTTCTCTGTTTTGCCTTTCGTCCCTTCAGCTCCTTCACATTTTTCAGTAAGACAATTGTTTCGGTGAAAGTTCATCATGCATTCTTTATTAGCAAACAGTACATTATACTTCATCCCGGCCGTTGTTGACACGGATTGTGCATGTGGGCCATCACTCTTTCATTGTTCATTTTGGTGGAGGAATTATTTCTTTACAGTTCACTTTTGGGGATAGATGGTGAGTTCTGGGACTTTTGAATTTCAAACTGCACCTTCCTCGCCCATCCATTGCTGTAAATTTTTTTTTGGTAAGGTTAAGAACTTTTATTCAAGAATCAAAACAAGAAGTTATACATCACAAAGTAAGCCATCAGCAGAAATTAGCGTAGGGAGCTCTGCGCCTTTTGGCAAAGAGCCAGCTGCCATATTTGCTTCTCTGAAACATGTTGAAAATATACGTGTTGAAAATATACGTTTGAGGGACGCATACCGATCCATATCTGAATCCACAAGGACTGCATACAAATGAATCTTTTGCTCTTGCCTACATTTAATGACAAGGACTTCAGAGACGATTGAATTTTTTGCTCTTGCCTACACCATTTAATTACCAGGACTTTTAGAGACAAATGAATATTTGCCCTTGCCTACACCATTTAATGACATATAGATGGTGTTTGATAAACTTTCACTGTAGTGTCTATGGGAATCGCCCTTGCTATTGATTTCTTGAATTTTAGAATGCAAGTGAAAATTGGTAGACTTCTTGGATTCTAGAGGGCAAGTGAAAATTGTTACGGTGAAAGAATGCAAGTGAAAATTGGTATAATGATGCAAGAAAAAATTGGTAGAATGCACGTGAAAATTGATAGGGTAAAAGCTGGAGACCTGTTTGACAAGTTGTTGTGCTCGTAATTTCACCCATTATGTATTTAATTGATATGATGTGCGTAATGCAGTTTTTTAAAATATATTTTGTAATTGCTTACCCAAAAATAAGGTTCATGCCATTTCCATTCATCCAACCTATTACAAAAAATATAAATAAATTCAAAAAATACCAATATTTTCATAAATGTTGAAGAATATTGTCAACAAGTCCATCCCCTTCTAATGCTCGCTCACTCTACACTCACATGTCGTCCGAAAACTCAAAACATTAGTGATACTTGGGCATGAGATTTGGAAATATGTATTTAAATGTTTGAAAGCTAACTATTCCATATTGCCACTACATTTTACACTACATACTTAAAAGGTTTAGAGGCTACAAAATATTTTTACTCTTCTTTAAACATCCACTACAGCTTTGCCATTTTCCGTAAGTGTTAAAAAAGTATCATGAGCAACAAATACATTAACTCAGAGAACAAGTGGAATGTCAGCATCAGCAGGAAAGTTACTTGTTTAAATACACCTTGCTCCTCAGAGCCATATCGTCCTTCATAATAGAACTTTTTATAACGTGGAGTGAACTTTATGGTCTCATTTTTTTTATCGAGGAACATCACAAGATTTTTCCAAGAACTTTTTATAACTTGGAGTGAACTTTATGGTCTCATTTTCTTTAAAGAAACATCACAAGATTTTCCCAATTCCACTGTGATGTAGGTTTCATATCCTATTCCTTGCCAGATTTGTGCAGTCCATGAGAATGAAAGATCATACCAATTTATACCATGGGTCACAAATTATGATAACATCTACCCATGTATCTTTTCACATTAATAGCCTCCTTTATTAGAAGTAAAATTTACACCACCATCCATTGAAACCAATCTTACGTGGACCCATAGTTCAAACCCTATGAAAGGAAACACACTCAATTAGCAGATGAAATAGGCAAATAAATTTGCTGAAATAGAGACTCAAATTTTTCACTCACTTATGAACTCACGAGAATGGCAAGAATGAAGCATGACCACAACAACAGTTAACAAATGTCTCAAAAAAAAAAAAAACAAAGGAAGTCAAGTTTCTGTAGTAGCGTTTTTGTTTTTTTGACTAAAAAAGCGACAGATAAAGAGAGAAAAGAAAAAGCAAAGGTGGAGAAAAACAAGAACGAACGCAAAAGAAAATGGTAAAAACCAAAGACCTGACTATTTTCAAACATCAAATAGAAAAAAAAAAAAAGCAATAAAATTCACCGTTCCAAATGATACAAAATACGAGGGAAACTAGGAACAAACAAGGAACAAGATGCAACTTTAGCAGTTGTAATTATCAACATGGAGTTCAAAAACCAGAAAAATAAATCCCCAAAGAAGAGACGTAACCCTAAATTGGTACCAAGAAGGAAGTGAACACAGGTTCTTCCTTCTCCCATTGCCAATTGAGACAAGCAAGCCATGGGATCATCAAAATACCTTACCAGAATAAAGCGTCAATAAACAGTACAAAAATTCTAAAGTACTCACTGGTTTTCCATTGATTGTAGGTGCAGAGGGTATAGGGCAAGATACAAGGCCGTTGATCGAGGGGCAAGAAGCTCAGTGGCTTGAGGTACACAGCTCCCCAAATGTCAAGGTCGGCAAGGGAGAGCGGAGAATCTCACTGGGTGGGTGTTCCGACTTGTGTCCGTTGTCAAATGGGTGAAACTTGGGGTGAAAGTGGCCCTCTCCAATATTATCAAACAAACGCTGCAACTTCAAAGCTTTCAATTGAATGAAAGCACCTTTTAGAAGGTGCCAAGCATATATATCTACTAGCTGAGAGACTTATCAAATTGCTGGTTAATGACGTTTGAGAAGCTTACATGAAAGCCTGCCAAATAAGCCTTTTTTACTGATATAAAACCAACTTCAAAGACAGTATAATTTTTCCTTTTAATTTTTTTACATCCATTATCACCCCTTCAAAATTTTGTCTACTTCTTTCCTTCCATACCTCCCACATAATTGCTGCTACGAAAATTTGCCAGACCACCACATCCACGGTAACTGAAAATAATACATAATATCCTCATAGCTTCTAGGCAACACCATCGTATAACCAATTTTTTGAGAAGGCCACACCAGAACATTCATCATTATTCAGCCCCTTTTCTTTAAATTATCAATAATAAGTACCTTACCTTGCATGGCAACATGTAGAAAAGCTTGAATTTTGTGTGGTACCGGCTATTTCCATACTTCTTCGAGCCCCGTCTGATGCCATCTCATAGATCATAAAAGAGCAATGCGTATGTTGACTTGACTGTAAGCATTCCATCGTTCTTTGATTCCCAGACAATCTCATCATCCACATTGGTAGAAAGATGAACAATCTCTGGACCCTTCAGAAGACAGGCCAGTTGTGGAAAAACCAACATTATGTCTAAGGTTAGCATGCACAATAAGACCATTGAAGCTTGTTACAGAAAAGTCGCAATTGTGCTTAGCTCTTATAGGTGCATCGTATGTGAAATCTTCTTGTTGGCGGTGAATAATTGGACTGCATTTAAGTTTCGAAAAATTTCTTTCGGATTTTGGAGAAATGACACACCATGGTTATCTGATTTTCCATCGGATGACAAGCTCAATGCGACCCCTATGTGTAAAAATTGACCAATTCATTGCACATAATTCCTCTTTATTTATAGGAAAAAAAAGATGTACAGTCCCCCTTTATAGTCATAATCCAAAATAACCCCTTGGGTGGGTTTATAGAAAGCCCAATGACCCCCTCTAGGTTGAGCAAAAGAAAAAAAAAAAATCTTTTAATCCCCTTCTTATCTTTTTCATTATTGATAAAATATTTACTCCTTTTTTTTTCTTCTAATAACCCCGTTATATAAGTGGTATTGCGGTGCCTCTTTAATATACTGCGAGGTTCAAGATGAGAGAGATAGGGCTTCAAAGGAGGTTGCCAAGGAGAGAGGGGAAGAGGTTGAAGAAGAGAGAGAGGAAGAGCTCTGTTAGATTTGGATGATAAGGTCATTAGTATAAAGAAAACTGATAAATATTATAATTTGAATAATGAAAAAGTTAAGTGAGGGTTAAACATCATTTTATTTTGGTTTGGACGGGTCCATGTGATATCTATAGATCCAAGGCGTTACTTGATTTTATGATTATAGATGGGGGCATTATCTTTTTCCTTTTTTTTATATACACTTTGATCAATTCTACTGAAAACGCCGAAGGTAATGTTGCATTAGTATCTGCGTAGATGACAATTAATTTTATTTGGAATAGACCCTTATTAGAAAATATTCTTTATAATAGACTATTTTATCTAAAATTTATTATGAATAATATATTTTTGTTAGTTGTTTGATATGTATCTTGTTATTATGAATAATATTATTAAATTATTTAACTTTGTCAGTGCTTTTTCAGCTATTTTAGTTATTTATTTTCCAAAACATGCAATTTTTGCAAATTATTTCTAATAAATTTAAAAATTCTTTTCAAATAAATAAACAAATGCAAAACTCCATGTAAGTTTTTCTGACATCTTTATGATGGATGTTGTCAAACAATCAATAATTCATTATCAAGATTAATCTCATTGAAACAATGAATTATTAGTGTCTATTAGTAGTTACGGACATAACCTTAGAATATTGAAGTCGAGGTTTTGCCTCTTGCTTTAAGCCCATGTTTCTATGGACCCCTATTTATGCTTTATGTTCATTTTCTTAGGTGGAAAACGATTGCTTGGGTGCTAGGTTGGTTCACTCTTGGGACCCATTTGATGACCCTAAGGGTGAAACAACAAAAAAAAAAAAAGTGATAGGCCCAACTAAAGGAAAACATACTTTTCGTTCTTTATTAACATTAAGAGTGGATGCTACTTAATAATAAATAATTAGCCTCCGAAAAGAAATGGTAAATCACTAGTATGTCTAAACTAGGATGGCCCTAATCCACATGATCATCATAATCTATTCATGAGTAGGAGATTTACATTGTTCCATCTAAGCTAGAGGGCCATGGAGAGGAGTAGGACACATGGTACAGTTTTTTGATGCATCATCTGCTCTGCTCTTTCTCCATCGCCATCCAACTCGATTGAATAGGGGTGAAGTTACTGGTCCTTATCAGTATTATGTTGTAGGGACCATCATATTTTTTGGGGGGATATGGGTTGTGCCAAATGGTGGAAACATAAGCTTTCAGATACCCAAAAAAAAAACATAAGCTTCCAGATACTTACCCAAAAAAAAAAACATTAGCTTCCCGATGCTTGACATACTTATCTCATGGGGGTCCATAAGAAAATAATTTGTCACTGCCGACCTGCATTGAGAACGGATCCGCTCCTCATTCCTTTTCCTATTTAACATACACAAAATGAATTTGTCTCCCCTGTAAGCATCATATGAATTTCACCCAAGATGGGCCTCATATTCCATGGTGCTCTTGTATTATAGGATATCCATGTTACAACATTTGCGGAATCCCCCGTAAAAAATGATGCAATTATGGTGGGGTTGGAGGATAGAAGCCCTCTGTTTTTAAAGGCCATAACTTTGCCTCATTGACTGGACATCCTAACAAGGCCCCTGAAAAGGTGAGGACAACAATACCTTTATGGCCTCTAGCAAGCAAGTGCACCAGGATTTCTAGTTACACTCGCAATCATAATTTAACTTCAGCCAGTCGACAGGTGGAGGGACTCACACACTTAACTTATGAACTCTCCTTACAGTCACTCTGGCCACATCTTTGATTTTAAAGAGAACAACAACTTTAGAAATGCCTTTGAACTCATTCTTAGCCAAGGCCCAAATGGCGATTGCTTCCTATATGCCGCATTTGAAGTCCGTCAAATCTCTACCCTTGCCTTCGAAAGTTCTTGAATTTATCTCTCTCCAAATGATCGATTGGACAATAATGAAGGCTATTCTCCATAGAGTTACTCTATTTTTTAGGAGGGGGAGTTAGCCACGGTGTAATTAGGTCTTTAATAGAACCAGGCGTAACCACAACAAAATCAAAAGAATCAAAGAGCCATGACCATAACTGATGAGAAACATAGTATAGAAATATGCACATTGGATTATGATGCATTCCTAAACAACATATAAATAAATAAGAATCATATCTCTACTACATAATTGATACACGGTGGGGAGTCATTCTCTAATGGCTATCCAAGTAAAAGCTTGGGTTCTAGAAGGCATTGGGAATCTCCAAGCTTTGTTTGTTGTCGATAATAAAGGAAGGGACCGATATTCTACAAGTAAATTGTACATTGGCCCTTTCTGGATAGTAAAAGAAAGAGTTCAAGATTGTCATTAAAGCCTAGAATTGATCTGCAATATGATTGTCAACTCCTCGACCTTAATGTTCTAGACTATCTCTCTGCCTCTTCCCAAAACCACCTCCTGTATTGTTAAACTTGGTCTACAGATGAACACTTTCACACCATTTATCACTCCGAAACCAAGTAGATGCTCCATCTTCATCTTGTTTTTGCTATATCGTAAGAAAAGAGGTTTCATGAAATCTGTACGTCTCCAAATAGGGGAAGCATCGTTTCGTATTGGAAGCTTTTCTACAAGAGTCCATATCTTTCTTTTCCATATTTGCTAAAAGGCACCTTCGAGTAGAAGGAGTGCTGGTCCATTGCGATTCGAGCTTCATTCATTCATGTGCTTTAGCCTTCTTATTGTCGGACCCCAACTCTCTTTGGAGATGTAACTGTGGCCCAATTACTAGATGAGTTTTAGTTCGTTCTCTCATCCCTTCCACTCCATAAAAAATTTTACATCATTCTTTCTAGCGGCTTAATGACCATATTTGGAGCCTTAGTGATAAATTGGTAGACTAGAGTGATCCACCCACCAAAAGAGGGATCCTTGATTTTCGATGCATCCAGCTTTGTTTGAAGCCGGGTCCCAAATTGACCTTGTAGGTCTGTCTTATACCAGTGGAGGCATTCCCAGGTATTTAATGGGTCGAGCACTGGGTTTGCATCCAAACCAAGTTGATACTTTTTTTTGGGTGAGTGAGTGGGGAGAGGATAGGAATTGAGCCTAGGATGTAGTCTTGCAATTTGGCAAGCTCTAACCAATTAAGCCCGGGCTTTTATCCTAAACCAAGTTGACACTTCCTCCACAAACACCCATGAACCTAGTCCTTTCCATGTTGAAGTTCTATCCTGAAATCAACTTATAACATTTCAAGTTTAGTTTTTTTAACTCGAGGGAGGGATGCTTTACAAAAAACCAAAGTATCACCTGCACATTGTAGATGTGAAATCAAATGACCATCACTAGTTATCTAGAAGCCTGATAAAAGTCCCGTCCCGACCCCTACGTAATCGACTGCATCATCAGGCTAAAAGGTTCAGTGACCAAAGTGAAGAGGAATGAAGAGGGGATCACCTTGTTGAATGTCTCTGGTACTTCAAAAGTACCCCACAGCTCTGCCTTCAGCCAACATCGAATCATGAGCATTTGACCGGCAACCTCTAATCCACTACACCCATCCTCCCCCAATAAAGTTTTACTCTTGAATAATCCCAATATACTCGATTATAAGCTTTTCAAAGTCGAATTTACATACAGAATTAACACAGTTCTTAGCATTTTCTAGAGCGAATGGACTCTAATGCTACGAGGATTTTAACTATGATTTGTTGATTCTTCACGAAAGCAGACTGTGGCCCCAAAATGATCGAATCCAATGTTAAGAAGCTAATGCCATTAGGGAAAGGACGGAATTCATTTTTGAAATCAATGCAATGAAAGTAGAATTGAGCCCCCCTCTTAATTTTGTCGTTCAGATAAAACTCATTAAAGACGCTTGAGTAAATATTCTTTAACAATACCTCAATGGGAGTGATAAAAACTGATAGGGAAACCGCCCTGTCTTGGGGGAGTGCAAAACCTGCTTCCTTAATCTCATCCCCTAAAAATGGGGCTTTAAATTGAAGTATTTATCTATCGCTTAGGGTTCTAAAATGAAGCCCATCCAATTCAAAATTCGGTCTTGCCTATGCAGGAAATGCATCTTTAACCAATCATTCACATAGAAAAGAAAATAAAATTCCTTTAATCGATTGAAAAAACCCCCATTTTCATCTTGAATATACAGCACATACAATAATTATATATTAACTATTAGAGAAATTAGAGCGACTCTTACCCAATATTTGAAAATTCAAGTTGATTGAGAGCTTTGATCAAACTCAAAATGAGAGCTTCACATCTAGGTTAAGGCTTCAAAGAGAAGAGAAGAGAGAGAGAGAGAAGCAAAGTCAAGGAGTTGCTTCTCTTGAGGCAATGTAACGACACAAATCTTAATTCTTTGAGGTTCCCTGAACTTCTTACAACCCCGTTTCTTGTACCGCCCCTTATTATCAAACAATAGATGCTACATTAAACTTGAAATTTCAGCTCTTAGTGTAAATAATTCAAGGGGTTCTTTGGAAATTAGAAATTTCAGAGCGATTCGAGAGCCCAAAATTAAATGGGTCATTTGGCAATTAGAAATTTCAGGGTGATTTTAGAGCTGAGAATTCAAGGGGTCGTTTGGCAATTAGAAATTCCAAAGCAAGATGCTAAAATTTTCTGGATTCCCTAGGTTAGCAACTATGAATTGCAACCGTGAAAATGGGTAATTGGACGTCCGCATTTATCAGAAAAAGAAATGCTCATCTCCTTATGTAGAGGCCAATTTCTCAAAAAATGAGAATCATTTTTTTGAATCACATATTGACAAATTTTGGGGGTGTGTGCGGGGGCACATTGTTATAAAAACATAATTAGTTCATAAAAAAATAAAAGGGTGTGGTTTATGTAAGGCCAATCAAATTAAGGTGCACTTGAAGGTCCAAATATGTTGTTTTAGTATCAAAAATATTTGTGATGGCCTACAAATTTATTTTTATCTTTACTTATAAAATTTAAAGGTTAAAAAATAGTGTAGATCGAGAAGATCTATGAACACTTGATAATTTTAAAAATTGTCAGCCTAGATAATACATTACAATATACACTATTTTCAAGACTTGATATCTATTTTTTCTCATATTTATATATCTTGAGGTCGAGATGATCGAATTGAAGGTTTTTCAACATCAAAACAACCTCTCTTAGGGCGTATTTGCTTTTCTGAAATATTTCTTTCAGTAAGAAATCTTTCTAATTTTCCAAAAGTTATGCGCTTATCACACGATTTCATCTAACAGTTCAGAAAGTAATCTTCCAATAAAAGTTCTCATTTTTTTATTAAAACATGAAAGATTAACTTTTTAGGGAGGAGGTAGGAACTTAATCTTTCATAACGTTTTTCTTGATCACTATTCACTATGCATAATATAAATACATATTATAAGTATTATTAATGTGACCCCAAATTTTGCATGCACATTCTCTTCATCTCAGTAATCAATCCCCCCTTAAAAAAAATTTCAATTTGAACCCTAGAGATGGTCAAAATGAGTCTGCTCCAAAAACGAATCTAGACCATTCATTTTGTGAATTTCAAGATCTTAGCCTTTATGAAGTCAATATCATTATTTTCTTTTTTAACATTGTTCATCTAATGATAATAAAGCTATCCAAAAAAATTGGAAATGAAAAAATCCTTCTAAGGCCTAGATCTAAGCATCTCACAAAAGTAAACGGCCTATGTTAATGGGACTAAAAAAATACTTTCTAGGTTGTGTTTTCAAATTTTTCTTTTTTTGTGATTATTCATTAGAATGAAAATAGTGTATATTTCAAAATTAGATCAAACAAATGGCTATAAGATGGTTTTTTAAGGTTATTGCATCATATTATTATACAACGGTTGC